ACAAACATCAAAACGAAATACCTCTGTACATACATACAAATACTACAACGAAATACATACAGACACCACGTGTCACCACGAACAAGAAATTCATTCATAAAGCAAAAACTTGCATTCATAAACTCGCGCGCACCCTGCACACTTGCCCCGCTACAAGCATCAGCCGTCCACAAGTTGATTTTCGGCGCGGCGGTGACAAAATCTAAAAATCTAAAATTCTATCAACCACCGCGCCGATTGGAAAAGTAGCAACAGTGTTCAAAATCCCCCTTCCCCTTGAACACTTCTGTGATCAAATAAAATATTGTTTCCGTTGGTTATTGAAATCATGCATCTGTGCCGACAAGTGCGCAAAATTACTTCGCTTTCGTTTCCCCCGTCTTGTCAACGAATCTTCTTCTTCTTCAATAACTTCGCAAGCCACAGAAAAAGCAAAAATCTAATTTGATTCAACCAACAAATTATTCATTTCATTTTTATAAATACATAAAAAGCCACAGCATCGGTTCGGTGTTGAACTGTGACCGTATCGGCAAAGCATCATCATAATTGCTTCGCCTATACCAACTATGCCACAGTACATCTTGAACGCCACGCATCTTACAAGCTACATGTTTAATTCAAATTGCCAGTATGAGTTCAAAAATTTTTACTTTTTTGTTAACATATCTACATCTATGTACAAAAGAATATATGTGCGTACTTGTGATTTTTGCTTGTACAAATAAGCAAAAATTACCTGAAAAACCTACCAAAACCCATTAGAATTTTATCCAAATTAAATAACTAATTTTTATTAATATGATTTATTGATATGTAGGTATGCTTTTATTCATTCATATATCACATACATATAAGCAAAACATTTCTTGTAAATGATATTAAAGCGGTTTAAATATTAAAAAAATAAATTTTATGAAATATGCCTGTAACGATAAAAAGAAAAAATCAAACTAATAACCGATTTTAAAAAAATTGATATCGTTGTTAACGCAATCAAATCTTTCTTCTGATATGCGTATACTTCGTATATAAAAATTTTAGAAAAAACACTTAAAAGCAAAAAATAGTTTTTTTTTTATAAAAAAAATATTTGAAACAAAAAAATTACCAACCGATTTTTAAAAACTTGGTATCGTGGTAAAAGCTACCAGAAACCTTATACTTTCTTAAACCCAAATATTTCGTTTTATATACAAAAAAAAATAAATAAAATCATTTCCCCCTCTTTTTCTCTCCTGCCCCTAGGTGAAAGGCTGGGTTCGCCCTTGGTATACAAAACAATTAAAGTATTTAAACCGTAGGTGCATTATACGTCAGTTTGTTCTTTTAGAGCGCATACATGGTTCCATAAATATGATACCAGTATCTTCATTTATATATGTATATTGTAACTATCAATATCTTATAAAGAGAAGTATATTTTTTTTTATCTAAAACTAATAAAGTTAGAACGACGAAATTCGAGGATGTAGTAGTTAAAATATTAGTCCTTGACATATATTTTTTTCAAAAGTAAATGTTGGAAATTTCCAAGAATATTTAAGGATAAAGTTTTAAAAGGACATTTTCAATAAATATTCGTCCTGGTGCACCCAAAAATTAATTTTTTTCTTTCTACAGAATTTTCCCTTTTAATTGATACCCATATTGTTATTCTACAATGCACATTTTGAATAATTTTTTTATGCAATCATATGCTTGTTTTTAGGCTTTATGTATTTTTATTTTTTATATTTTTTTTATATTTACAATAATAATTACAAATGATAAATAATATGAATTACTAACATTATACTAATTAACATTACTAACTACAGAAAAATACGGCATGCACCCGCAATCATTCGCAACATCTTACACACCACACGCAACATACTTAACAGAGAATATAAACAAAAAATGTTAAAAACCTCTAATAAACATGTTAAACGGACTGGTGAAATTCCATAGTGGATCCATTTCAGACGACAATATTTCCACTCAAAAAATATGCACCTTCTCGTTCTTAAATGTTCTCTGCAATTACTTAAAAACACCAATAATTGCAGTTCCCTGCTTTAGATATCGGATGCTCCAATGCCTGAGGGCATGGAGAAGATAGTTTAATAAGTTCCAAGGACTGGGATGGAGGATTTTTTTTACTAGAATCCGTGGCTGTCTTTTTAGGTGGACTAATAACACGCCCACCTTTATTTTCTCGGCTATCCTCAGAGTGTGGAGGGTTGTCGAGACAAGTGAAAGACCTAAACATTTCTTCGTTATGCTTAAATTTCGCAACAAGCACCGACAGATCCTTCCCGATCTCAGAAAAACCATTTCTGGACTGCCTAAAGAATTTAAATAAATCTACTTCGGTTGATCTACATTTTTGACAAGACCAACGAAGACCCTTACCCTCGTTAATAGCGTCTAATACTCTACCGCACTCTACTCTACTCTATGAGCAATCCTATCGCGAAGCCAGCATGACACATAGGAGTCGCTTTTAACGTGGCAGTTGGTGTAAATACGCGACATGTTTAAAATTATATTTATTTTTAGGGTTTAGAAGCAAAAAAGCAAAATAGTTTTGAAAACGATATATTATCAGTGAACCAATCTGCTGGTAAATATCAGTTGGAAAGCTATGTAGCGAACAGTTTTAAATGCAGTAGATCCACAACTTTCTGGAGCATCCACCACATCGACCACACAAGGATTGAAATCTACCACATATTCGCATTTTTGAGTAGTTATAATTTAGCTCCCCATGATTTTCTTTATTTTTTTAATTTTAAGAGCAAAAATTGTCCAACACTAAACACTATGTGATAACAAGTAGGGAAACGATATCGAACCGAAACTGTCGATATAGTACTCATTTACAGTGTCGCTGTAAAAATATCGTAATAAAAAGACTCGATATTCCAAATATCGATACAAAATTCAAAAAATTAAATCTGAATATTGGAGTCATTTTCTATTAAATAAATAACACTTTGCACTTTAATAAGTACATCACTGAAGGCGCGCCACATACCAACCTAAGAGAGTTCACATTTCTGCGTTTTAAAGCTCAGAATATATCAATATTGCTTTACATATAAATTCCAAAGTAAGTAAGCTTCGTCGTCGCCGTCGTACTACATAGATTTGCAAGAAATGGAATGTTTAAAAATAATATTAACAACAAGACTTTCAATAGAAATTTTAGTAAGGACAAATTTTTATATTTTGGAATTTGGAAAACTAACTTTAAATATTTCAAATATTACTACAAAAAAAAATTATACAAATAGTCTTGCCCAATTCCCAGAGTTTTAGATTTTGACGATTTTATTTTATTTTCTGATAATTTGTCATACAAATGTATCATTATTCACATTAACTTTGTAATGTACATTTACGATTCGATACGATACAAGGGTTCTGGTACTCGATTCCAAAAAATATCGTTTGAAAACTTTCGAGAAAAAAGTATCGGTATCGAATGGCAAAAATATTGATGTGGTATCATATCGTATCAAAATTATTTGTGCTTAATAACATGAATGATAGTACATATTCAAGCTTTCCGGCGGCGATGAGATTTCTCAAGTAAAAGTAAACAAATCCAAATGGGAGGAGAAAAGAAACTGTCAAACAGTGATTTTTCTCAATATTAAATTTTTCTGTGTTAAATTGCAAAATATATGATTTATAAAAATACCTAATAAAGAAAATGTAAAAAATCGGCGATTTTTGTGATAATTAGCACATTACAGTGCATCTAAAGTTTTTAACGCGTTGTTTCTTTTACTTGAGAATTGTCAAATTTGCAAAACCCAAGTTAAACGTTTTTTCTAGAGATTCGAACTAAAAAGTTTTAAGTTAAGGTGAAACCTTGCAGATTTTTTTTAATTTTTGTAAAAAGTTTGATCCGAAACCTGAGATCTAGCACATTTTTTCTAAATCTACCACATGTTTTTCCAGAATCTACCGCACAGAATTTGTATTAAGTCCGATCACTGCTCTAGTGGCTGTTTTGAGGCGTTTGAAAGGCTTTTAAGGTGTTTTTGGACGCTGGGAGTGCCGTATTTTTGGGTAGCGGTCGCCCCTCGGCAGGCAATGGCAAACCCCAGAGTGAATTTCTGCCATGAAAAACAGCTTCTCATAAAAATACAATCGCCGTTCGGAGTCGGCGTAAAACTGTAGGTCTCTCCCCTTTGTGTGACAACATCAAGGCGAACGCCACAAATCAGAGGAGAAGCTCGGCCAAATACTAACATATGTGTAAGCACCAATCTATCAATATCGTAGAATAATTTTAATATCTATTCCAAATTTTATACAGACAAGACTAAACAGATGAAAATAAATAACATAAAAAAACTTTTTAATACCACGCTTTTATAGATAGACTAAAAAGTAGAAAATAACTGGAACTACTACTGGAACTGGAAGTAGGAAATACTGGAGTACTGGAACTTGGTATGGAGATATTCGAAATTACCAGGTGGTAAAAAATTTACTTCAATTCAAATAATTTGATCGGTTAAATGAATTATGACAATATGGGTGTCGATCGACATGGTTTGAAAGTGCTTTATTTTTGAACTACATGTAGGAGTGTTGCCACCTGTTTAAAAAATCTAATTCAACTTGATTTCGAAAAGAAGTTTAAGAAGTTTTTAGTTCAAAATATTTTGGAGAGGTTAATAAAAGATGTAAACCTTACCGTTTAGCTGAAAAATACCAATGAATTCCAATTTTCAGGGAAAGTATTAGTCCCCCGGGTTAAAATGTAGATAGGTTAAAATTAGGTTGACAATTGATAATTTATGGTAGAAATAATTGTGGTACGATTTTGAAAATTAAAAAGATTTCTCCCATATATCAGTGCTGTCCGCATCATCGATGATTACGATTAAAAAATGTAATCATTGGTCGTTTTTATGTTTACCATTAAGCAACTTTAATCATAATCGCGATTAACTTTCTAATGGTAAATTTTTCTTCATTAATCAGATGTTGCCAACACTGGTATATACCTTTGCAAAAACACGGCAAATATGCAATTTTGTAATCGTGAAACTTGATACATATACGACTTCTATGTACATATATAGTTTTTCGTTCTATTTTTCAGTTGGGCTTATCCGATCGTGGCCAGAATATTTTATGATACGCTTAGTCATTCTATAGGTAAGTAAGATGCTTTATTTTGTTCTTTTTTTATAAAAGAATTCAAATATTTTCAAAAATAAAAAATGCTAAGTGCATTCTTTCATATATTTATGTATGTGCCAGTTTTACCGTAATATATTTTTTATCTAATCGTTTATTCCATGGGGTCTTCATGCTTTATTTAAATTTAAAAAATTAAATTACTATACCGTTTTAAAAATCTGAAAATTTACTGCAGGAAATTTTTTTATTCTCTTTTTGTCTTCGCCTTCTCGTTTTTGCCTTTATAAGTTTTGAAAAAAGGTTTTGAACGAACCATTACATCACATTCCTATGCAAGTTTTGAAAGAATATTTTCGATACTAAATTTTATTAAAACAAAATGTCGAAATCAGCTTCATATAGAAACAGTGTCATCGTTAATTAAGAAAGAGATGCTCTTAAATATCATAACTTTACGACACTCACATATCGACTAGATTTGACTATTTGTTTTATTATATTTTAATTTGAATTATTTGTTTATAAAAATATAGTTTATTCCTTAACAAACACCCAATTAAAATAAGTTTAATCTTTGAACAACATTAAAAAAAATCGACGAACTTTCGTAAAAATTTCGAACTTTCTATATCAATTTTATCTCGTAATATTTTGCAGTTTTTAGCTCATTCAATTTTAGTCTAATAAAGTGCAAACTTAAAGTAGCTGTGATTTACAATTGATGTATGGCATATTTTTGACGATGTCGGTAATTTTCTTCCATATTATCTAAGTATGTTCGACGATTTTTTTAATGAAGAAAATGAGCAACGCCTTCATCAAAAAATAAATAAATATTAAAAATCAACGATAAGTCGCAGCTATGTATTTTAAACTTGCGCTTTATTTGAATTGATCGGGCTACAAAACTGCATACTCAGGATATGTATTTCTAGGAAATCTAATTAAAAAGTTTTACGAAAGTTTGTTGATTTTTTTAATGTTGCGCAAAGATTAAACTTTGGATTTATACGGGTTTTGTTAAAGTGTGAACTGCATTTTTATACACAAATAAATAAAATTATATAATTTTAAGATTAAAGGCGAATCTAGTTAACATGTATAAAGTTTTGACAAGCACTTGAAATGTCAAGTTTTAGTACTGAATTCAAAGAAGATGTCTCTTTTATCCATTCATAATAACTTAAAAATATTGCTTGTTAAGAAGTGTATCTTAAAATATCTGCCTTGACATTTATGTTGAAAGTGTAAAATATGTAAATGTACCTACATAAACTTTCCCGTGAATACCATCAAATCATTGGTCTTGAAGGGGATCTGTGTATAGATTTCGTACTGAAGGAACAATTTTATTTCCCAACACTGTGGGGAACTAAGCAAAATGGCCTAATGTATTTCGCAAATATTCAAATACATAATCCACCAACCGATAATTTTATATGTTTATTAAAAGATAATTGGTCATTAGTCTGAAATAAAAAAATTATAAATCGGAAGGGTAAAATAATATTGTGTTATTAATTCAAAAATAAAAAGTTTAATTTCACTGACGAAGGGGGGGGGGGGGGGGGAGATCTATCCCCTGCCCTGCGGGTTTATGTCCTCGGGAAGACAAAGGCTGACATCACCGCCGTCCAAGAAATGCGTTGGACAGGGCAAGGCAAGGTAAGTGTAGAGCTTTGCGATGTCTACAACCGTTGCCACGAAAAAGAGCGCAAATTTGGTGTTGGATTTGTAGTGGGAAAGAGACTCCGTCGCCGATTAGTGGCGTTCATCCCGGTGGATGAACGTCTAACCACAATCTGCATCAAAGCTTCAACATATCGTTCATATGTACCCTCGCCCAGATGGACGAGCTTGACGATTTCAATGCAAAGGTCCGTAAGAAAGGGATCTTTGGCCCCATTGTCTGTACGTCAGCCTCCGTGACGAAACGACTGATAACAGACTGAGACCCGAAACTGGGCCCGAAATATGGTATTCTGTAGTACCAAGTTCAAGGCTGTATTCAGATCGAAAAACGAGAAACCAAATCGATCCTCTTGTGATAGACGGAAGGCACACTTCCAGTGTTTTAGACCTCCGTATACTCAGAGGTCAAAACACCGACTCGGATCACTATTTTGCTGCAGCCAAGATACGTACCCGCCTGTGTGCAACAAAAAATGTGCCCCCAATAATGCAAGGAAAGCTTATTCACCACTCTACACACACGCCTGCTCTCTAAGAACACTCTTCAACAAACCGACATACGCGAGCTGTGGAACCACATTTCCTGCTCATTAAATACCGCCGCCGAAGAAGTTGTCACGATGAGGAACGTTAAGAAGCTGCAGAGAAAAAATGCCGCCTACAGTGCTACCCAGCGATCCCTGCAGGGAGCTGAAGAGGAAAGCGGGACGTATTTGCCGCAATAAGAAGAGAAAGGCCGAAAATTGCGAAAAAGTATTTAACTGCGCCACCAAAGAGTGTGGCTAGCGCGCAATTATTTAGTACAGCTCAGAGCTGCAAAACTATCGATGATTGGACCATTCGATATTTTCGATAGTTTTGGGCTTCAAAAAAATAACACGTTGCAAGTCTAAATTTTTAACAATTTGCAAAACCGAGGAAAATTCAAGATTTTCGAGTAATCACAATTTCGAGCTTTTTAATTTGATTTGTTAGAAAATTTTTGAGTATGCACTTTTGTAGTTTGAAGCAGCTAGGGCTTACTGTTGATTTTTGGCAATTTTTTGTTGATCAAGGTTTCCGATACACTGAGGGAAATAATGCATAGTAAAAATGAATACTTTATATTTTATTATCGTTTAAAAATGTTCGTATTTAAAAATAATATTTTCATACAAAGTTTATTACGCACGTATTTTACTGTTCACATCTGAGTATGTATATATATGTAAAGTGTACATACCCCAAGCATGCAAAGCGCCGCTCTGAGAGTGCACTCGCCATGCACCATGGTGACAACACACGCATACATACATAGTACATACCCTGCAAACCAAAGTTCCCGAAATCTTAAGGAAATCGTTAGGAGTATCTCATTTCTGTAACGATTTTTTTACGAATTTTCAAAGAAAATTATATGAAGTGGTTGACACGAACTCGTAAAGAAATTTCTGTACGAAAAATAAAGAAAATTCTGGAAAAATTCTGAAAGATATTCTTCACATAGCACCATTATTTTCGTTGCTTCACAGATTTTCTTCCGAAATTTCGTAAAAGAATGGAAGTGTGCGTAATTTATTTCATTTTCGAAAATTCGGCAAAAATCGAATTAAATCTTAACGAATTTTTTAAAATTTCTTTACAATGCAGAATACTCTGAAAAAATGGTTTGCAGGGTACATGTTTATCCGTGCTGTGGTGTTGATAGATATTCAACATTTGAAAGCGAATTTATATGCTTGGGTGTAGCTGAGTGCGCAAAGCGGCTTGCCACAAGTTGTTGATATCCGGAGATGGTCGGGTTCGAATTCCACTGCAGGCAACATGCAAATAAATTTTTATACCCGAGCGCACTTGTGCACAAGGGTATTATAACTTTGTTCACATAACGGTTGTTTGTAACAGGCAAAACGAATCGAGATAGATATAGACAAATGTATACATAAGTGATCAGAATGAAAAGAGAAATCGATTAAGCGGTGACTGTCTGTCCGTCCGTCCGTCCGTCCGTCTGTGCACACGATAACTCGAGTAAAAATTGAGATATCTTAACGAAACTTGGTACGTGAACTTCTTTTGGGCGTGGGACGGATGGTATTGAAAATGGGCGAAATCGGATAATAACCACGCCTACCTCCCATATAACGGTAATTTTAAGAAATACGAAAACTGCGATATTTTAGTAACTACTGAAGATAATTCACTCAAAATTGATACTTACAATGAGTTTCAGACGGAAAACATGAATATTATAAATTTTTGGAAAATGGGCGTAGCCACGCCCACTTATGGTTAC